TAGGGGTATTGTGCAAATTTTTAAGAACTTCTAAGCACCTCAGAGAAGCTAGATCTAGAGATTTTTGGGGAATTTCAGATCTTAAGAGCAGTTCCCGTAACTTTAGTCCAGACTTAAAGATGTGTTGAAAAAAAAATGAGAACCCTTCCGAGAATTTCAGGGAAGTACACTGCCGGTAATCTTAATTCAGTCCCATCTACATTTTTATCATTTTTGAGTCAGCGTCATTATTCAGTTTATCTCTCTATGTTTTTTTTTCGAGGACAAAGGTGGTTTGTTCAAGAAAAATGAAAAACAATGCCAAGTCAAATTGTCTCACATCGAAAAGTAACCGCAAGTCAGTCCCATTAGAAAAAAATAGGCTTTCATTAAATTTATATAGGGGTAAGAGGGGCATAGTGAACAGGTGCTGCATAATGAGCATAATGAACATCCTTCCTCTATATAAAAAATAATTTCTGTCTGTCTGCCTGACCCTTATAGACTCGTAAACGACTAAACCGATCGGCATGAAAATTTGTATGCAGGAGTTTTTGGGGCCGGGAAAGGTTCTTATGATAATTCGATTAATCCGGAACAAATCCAAAAACATTCAATAACGTGCTATGGGACCATGGTATCTTTCTACTGTTCAATACTGTGCTAAACTAATGCAGCATCGTCATGGAATTGTGACTGACTTGCGGTTATTTTTCTCATTGACGTTAAATGTAATCGCAATTCAGTCCCATTCAGATTTTGGCCATAAAATAACAATTTCATGATATTTTATCCTTTTTTTTTTTTGAAAGCTTAGATGCATTATATCACATTGTACGTTTATTTTTAAACTTATCCCTCAAAAATAAGTGTAAAATCGAAAGCTTGTAAAATCTTTGAACGCCGGTTTCTCATTTCCAGTTTTTTACAGATGGGACTGACTTGTGATTATGGGCAGTACAGAGACCTTCAGAGAATTTATGAAAACTCCAGAAATATATCAGGAACTTCACAGAAGTCCAGAGAGTTTCAGGGAAAATTAAAAGGTGTTTACGGGAATTTCATTTATTTCCGAGCCGAACCGAGATCTTCAATAGAATTGAGAATCAAAGGGCAGTCCAAATAATTTCAAGGACATTGTAGAAACCGTAAACGCCCCGGGAGAATTTCTGGAACGCGATAAAAAATTAATGAACATCCGGAAACCTTAACAGTATGTTAAAGGTGTTTATATCATGGAGATTTCAAGAATATAAAAAATGCGAAAATTTAGCTAAGTTGATTAGAGAACATCAACGAAGTTCCAGTAATTTAAACAAATATTTGAAAACTTTTAGCATGCAGCGATAACTTCAAGAAATTCCAGAGAACTTTTAATTAATTTAGATATTCTTAGGTAGTTTCTGCGAAGTTCCGAGTACTTCGAGGACGATCCGAAAACTTTTGAATAATCCCATTAACTTTAGCAAATTTGCAGCGACTTACCATTAGTTCCGTGAAATTATGGGGTAGGCCGAGAATTCTATGATTGATCCGAAAACGTCAGAAGCGTCAGGGAATTATAAATATATAAGTTAACAACGGAGTCACCCCAGCGTCAACACTTAAGAAGTCACCGGCACCGGCAGCACCAACGGGCACCTGCACCGAGACAGCAAAGTCAGCATTATCACCACGCGGCAACAGCCACATGGACGGATCGAGTATCGGCACCACGACGGACTACGTGACTGGAAGACCATCGTCGTTGCTAGTTGCTAGGTCAGCTGTTTTAGGGAACTGGCAAAGGTAGCTAGGTGTTCGACATGATTTAATAAAGACATTATTGTTAGAACCATCGACGTGTGTAGTTCGTAGTTTAGTTTTTAAAAACCTGAAATTCCGTAGTACGGGTTTAAGTTATATATATCAGAAAATTTGACGGATTATTAACAAATTTAAAGAGCTTCAGGTAATCATACATAAGTTCAGAGAAAATTAGTGAGCGTTTATAAAGTTTATAATACTTAAGGAAAATTGTCGAAATTTCAAGACAAATCAATTAATTTCAGTAAAGTTCTTTAAAAATACTGATAAATTCAGAGCAGTCTATAGAACTTTAACGAAACCCAGTAATAGTTAAGGCAGTTTTAATAACACCAGGGTAGTCTAGACTATTGAAGAAGGTTTTAAATTAGTGTCGATAATTTGAACGATGTTTCATGAACTTCAGAAAAATCTTGAGAACTTCAGTGAAAATCACATAACTATATATTATTTCGTTCAATTCCATGATAATTGCGGGAGCACAAAAGTTCCAGAAATTTAGAAAAACTTCGAAAACTCAACAAAAGGAAAGAGGTTTTCAAAAACATTTCGAGAACTTCATAGAAATGAAATCTATCCAGCTTAAAGGGAGATCCGCGAACTTCTGGAATTTGTATGAACATAAGCGAAATCAGTTCCATTAGTTTCAGAAAGTTAGTGGGAAATTTATAGCAGTTCTCAAATTTTCAGAAAACTTCAGAGACGTTAAAAAGTTAGGCCTTCGCATAAGTTCAGAAGTTCACGGAAGCTTATACATTTTTAGGACAGTTCAATTAAATTCAGCGCAGTACAACAAGCTTCATGAGAACTGCAAAAACTTTAGAGAAGTTTTAGAATTTCAGAAAATATCAGAGAACCTCAGAGCAGTTCCGTTTACATTAGAGAAGTCACATAAATATTAAAGAAGTTTAGAGAACTTCAGCTAATTGTTAAACCTTTAAAGGAGATCCATGATCGTTAGAAAAATTGAAGAAATTTTAAGAAGTCCTATAAAGCTCAGGGAAGTTTAAGAATTTGATGCGCAGTATTCTGAGCATCAGGCTAGTTTTTAAAACTTCAAAAGAACTTCAAGACAGTTTCATTAACCTCAGGAAAAAATTGGGAACTTTCAAGTAGTTCATTCCATATTCAACTGAGATTTTCATTGAAATATTCCTTCATCCTACGAATTCAAATTTCTTTTAGTTTCCTCGGAATTACCTTAAAATTCTCCACAATAAGAAACCCTTTTGAAAGATTGTCCGAATATTAATTGAATTCATTTCAGATTTTATTTTGAATCTTACTCCTTCCCCTGGAATTCTACTCACATCTCCTAAGAATTCATTGACATTTCTCCTCACAAATTCCTTAGATTGCTTCTCATAATTTGTTTGCCAAACTCTCCTGAATTTATTTTCCGAATGCCTTTGAAGATGTCCGGGAGTTATCCTCAGATTTAAAAATTGTAACCCTCCTTTTAATATTCTGAAATAAATTCCAAAGACTTATGCTCCTGTTTCGTTTTCTCCCACAAACTTTGGAATTTTCCTCTGAAGTTCACAGGAGTTGTGCTCCTCAGAAATTCCTAAGAGTTTTCATTAAAATTTACTTTTAATCCAATTCAGGGTTTCTTGAAATTCTACCTAAAACTATCAGGCTTTACATGAAATCTAAAACCTTTAAAACTGTGCATGGAATTTGACTCCACATTCTTAAAAATTTCGTGAATCATTATAGCTTTTAAGTCCAGAACTAGTTAAAATTTAAAATTTGTAGGAAATATGCATGTTCCAAAACTGTCTGAGCAGCTGGGGGCGACCCCGGCGTAGTGGTTAACATCCATTCCTCTCACGCCAAAGTCACGAGTTCAAATCTCACCCCCGGACAAGTCACGAATGACCCAAGAGTGTTAAAGTGACTATAATATAAAAAAAAAAAAAAAAAAAAAAAAACTGTCTGAGCACAGCCGCATACAGTGAAACTGACCTCTTTAATTCGATACAGCAATCTTTCAACCAATTGAGCAGATTTTTTGTTTATAATTAGGGCCAACCACAAACTTGAAATTCACAAAACGTCAGCTCAGTTTGTTGAAAGACGTTAAGACCTGTATTATTTTCTTTCAGCAACTTACAGCAAAGGCAAAAAAGCAAGTACGGGAACAAACCTATTGATAAGAACTAAATAATAGCAAATTCTCCCGCAAGAAAAAGCTAGAGTGGTTCAAAATTTATATTTTACTCCATCCAGTCAAATCGATCCAAATTCATGTCCTAACCATTCTCCCATAATTTGAGATCTTTTGGGTACAATCTAATATTGCACTGGTCCTTTGAATATTTCATTGGATTATATGACACAAGAAGAAAACATAAATACTCAAATTGGACCAATTTTGATTTTATTGCAGTTGTAAAGGTAAGTAAATCGAGTTAAATTTATTGATTTCAGCTTAGAATGTTTTGTTTTGTAAGACGGATAAATTCCTACAGGTTAGCATTTCAAAACTTGTTTCTGATTTTAAATTAACGTTCACTTGGTTCTTGCTTCAACAATTCCCATTATCTCTAAAAAGGCAACGAACACCCCTCGGCGTACATCATGCAAACTTCTGGATTCTAAATTTTCAATTAATGTTATTCCCTATTGCATTCCACCTGAAGCAAGTCACAGCGAGTCCCTAAATTTTCATACACTTTTTCTGCGATACAATTTTCTTACAAAAAAAAACTGCCGCTTCATCTAATTGCCTATTCGTAATCACTCACACTGCGCTCACAGTGGCAGCCACAGCATCTATATTGATACATTGCCCTACCCCATCGCCGGCCTAGCCCTCATTCATCACCGCCGCCGAAGTAAGCCGAATGTTTATTATCAGTGGATATCAATTATTCATATTTACTGCGAAGCGACGCACCAAAGCAGCGTATCGACTGAGAGGGAGGAAGAAGCACCCGGCAGCATTTTCTTCATACTCGACGACGGCATCGAAAGTAAATCTCATTAATGAGCTACGAGGGATCCCCTCGCAACTTTTACGCACCGCGCGCATAATTCAAATTTTTTATTATAGACAGTTTTCCTTCCCACCAGTTGGCTTAATTTCGAAAAGTATACTCCGATATACCAACACAGACTTGACACCTTTTTTTTTTTTGGCTTCTTCATCCTGCAATTCAGTGAATCATTGTTTAATTACCGAGTATTATTTTGCTTCTCTCTGCTTACAGACGCTAGTTCCATCGGCACCGCAAAACTTTACCGTGGAGAAGATTTTGCCATCGACGGAGGCCACCTTCCTGGCGCTGAGTGGCCCTCGCGGACTCTCGATCCTGGAGCTGCCCCGCCGTTGGGGACCCAACGGACAGTACCAGAACGGGAAGGAGTGCATCATTTGTCGGTAAGTCCTCACACTTCCCCGCTACTTAGGGGATGATAATTTTCTCGCAATCGCAATCAGCCAAACAAGCCAGCAGAGCAACAATACCGGAGGGATTAAAGTTTTTAACCCGGGTTTGGCCAAGTCGGTGCGAAGAAGCAACAAGGAGGCTTAAGAAAATTGGTCAAATTTCCATAGAAAAGCAATAATGCTAATACAAGGCCAGCCAGTTGCGAACCAAGTGGTTCTTCTTTCGTTTCATTTTTGTCTATTAGATAACTGGTCGGTTTGGCCCGAAAAAAAAAGCAGTCAGCTAGTATTACCCTTTGCTTTCGAACTGGAAACTGGGAAGCAAATTTTGCCTTCGGCAATTGACTCGAGAATCGAGAAGTTGTCACGAGTCGAAATCAAACGAGAAACAACCAAACTAAAACAAAAGAGCACATACATACCGAATGTGCATAGTACAGTAGCATGGCAATGCCAGCTCGGAAAAATTGAAAGTCAAACTCCGCTGGAGCACAAAAACGTTCATCTAAATTTCATTTGATTTAATTTTAATTAGATTTTGTGTTTAACTAGCAAAATCTACACTTGCTCTCTTTCGACGAGCGGGGCGCAGCATATAGCAGCGTGTCGGCATATGGATTCTTCGATGCTGTGAGAAATGGTATAGTTGGCAAATGTGATGAAAGGGGGGGGGGAGAATCTTTCGAAGCATACATCCCGGATGCTGGGAAGCTTACGAGCTTCCGATTTAGCCCGGTGCTGTTCGGGTACTAAAAAACTCAATTTGTCGAAGCTTCCAACGGAACTTCCCATCTACATAGAAAATGCTTCCAACTTCCTCCCAACTGGGCTCTACCATACCAGTAGGAACATCATCATTATCGTCACTTGGGACGTTAGATATCAAGTTGTAATTGTTCCAACTGGCAGAATAATAGAGTGTGCGGTACGTCGCATCGTACGTCCATCGCACAAGTCGTAATTCCGTTAACAATCCTGTACTCCAATCGTTACATATTGTTTAAACCTTATCGTATTAGCCTTGGCATTTAGTCCAAAATTTGAAAAAAATTAGAACTACAATTTTCGCTGAAAATTACCAAGTTCAACGTACTCGCACTGTACTGTTGCGGAAAATTGCGAAAACCTTCCGAGGAAAACCAGCGGCAGTCATTGCAGATGAGACAAGCGATTGTGGCCACCACGAGCAGTTGGCGATTGTCATCAGGTTTGTTAATAATTATGGGATTAAATTGCCAATTCCATTGGCTGTCTGAGAGCAGTTTGGATTGAAGAAGATGAACCATCACCGGAGCAAAAAATAGATAAAATTAGCTAAATTGAACAGTAGGGAAACAGTGGTGGGTGGACAGCACCATCCACCACGCACTTTGGAGTGTTCCCTATCCCCAGACTAAATGCACCATAGAAGAAAAAATTGCCGCTCCTTAACAAGATTCCTGTGCACGCTAGTGCTAAACACACTTCTAAGTATGTAAAGGAATGGTTTCATGCATACAAAGTGTCGGTTATTTCATTGCCTAGCCAATCTCCTGACATCAACCCCACCGAAAATTTATGGAACGAGCTTAAAAGAAAGGTCAAGCACTACAGTACAAAAAGAGTGGTAACCCTAATAACAATGTTATGGTTCATTTGCTCAACGATGTGTTCGGGGTATCATCCAAACCTTTTGTGGAATAGTTCAATCATTTTAGTAATCGTTCGTTTATGGTATTTTTTATTAGGAATGCTATACCAAAGGAAGCTTTTCAGTGCTTGGTTGAGTCAATGCCAAGAAGATTGAACAAGGCTCTACTTAAAAATAGAGGGCACAGCGGTTACTAAGTGATCAAACTTATACGATTATTTTAAAGTTTTCTATACTATAGTTTTATCAAAGATACCTTATTAACAAGATATCCCACTAATCAATTCCTCGAACAAGGCAGTGGATACACAACCCTTATGTGATCACAGTGCCATCTGGTGAGTGCACATTGAAACTGTTGGAAGTTCCCCAGCAACTTCACCACCAGGGCGATGAAGACGAAGAGGACGATATCATCCTCGATGTCATCATCATTATATTGCGATAGCAAGGCTCTCACTCTTTTGTGATTGGTCCGATTTTCATTCATTACCACTTTATACGCAACAGAAACATTTGAGAAAACAATCACACATCCAAGCTCGCGTCATGATGGACTTATAATATGTTTTGCTTTTGGAGTGAAAGAATTCCCAATATCATCACCGGTAAGAAGCAAATCTCTAAAAGTAATTGATTATTTCCGACTCTGTTGCACAATATAATCTTTATAAGCATATCAGTAGACATGGAAAAACATTTACTCTCCATGAAGAATTACGCAGCACGCATTCAATTCAAAAATTATGTTGGATAATGAATGCTTTCCTATTGTATAATTGTGTGCGTGTTTACTTCCAAGGCTGCAGTTCACTGTTGTCTCGTCACAATCCTTTTGGCGCTGTTATCTGTCTCTATAAATTCCAAAGAGTGAAGGAGGTCTGGTTTTATGCAACACACCTATTTCACTGACCAGGCATATTTGATATATGATTCTAATGAGTGAGTCATTTAATGTTTGAACTTTGAGTTTTCTCGTGCAATTACTTAATTTGTATTGCACTATCAAATGCTTTACTGTTAAAGTCGAATAAATCAAAGTTGAATGAACATAACTTAAAATTTCGCATTTTCGCTACACCTATGTTAATGACCAGCAGTGATGTATGTTACACTCACAACATTCACTGCGTACGTACTACACAATTTATTTCTAAGACAGATTCTTGCTTCAATGCTAATCCATACCCAAATTCAGTCTTGATGGAGTCTCACTCGCTAGTTAGTAATGAGCTGAGCATAGCAATTTTCTGAGGAGTAAAATGCCTACTGCGAAATCATTCCACTAAGCTTCAGAGCGTGTGAGCGAAGGGGGATAAAATGAGAGTGAGGTTTGCTGCCATTCATGTTCATATTTTCTATCACAAGATCTTAATCGAACCCCACACGTATCAGTATATTGACACGAAGGGGAATTATTGACAATAATATTGATGATGTGAGTACAGAATTATTGTCAATACCGATGTATTGACGTCAATATAGAATGCATTGACAATACGATTATTGTCAATAAAAGCAAACGTGTAGGGTCCACTTTACTCTCACTCTGGGTGAACTCTGAGCTTCTTGCGTCGAAAGTGGACCCTACACGATTGCTTTTATTGACAATAATCGTATTGTCAATACATTCTATATTGACGTCAATACATCGAGATTGACAATATTTCTGAATTCACATCATCAATATTATTGTCAATAATTCCCCTAATTCGCACGATATCACAACGCCATGAAATATGTTAACACTTTGTATAGCTGAATGATAGGAAAACGCTATGCAGAACAACTTTGTTCAAGACTGCAAATGGATTAGACTTCTGAGAAAAAAGTTATTATTATATTTATTTAGACCTATTGCTCCGCGCATACCTACGGGCGTATATATAAGCTTGTAGGTACGTGTGGCACACTTGGTCTAAAACGAAAGACGAGTAACTTTTTGTACTAAGATCAAATCGAATTGCAGTCTTCGACAAAGTTGTTTTGTGTAGTATTCTTAATCTAAGTCAGAAATTTGAGCAAAATTCAGTATCAGTATCAACCAATAACACTGAGGAATTCCAGAAATTTTCCCAATTTTAAGGATTATGAATTCAATCGTGTGCCAATGTGAACCTCGTCATGTTGATTCAGAAGACCGTACGTTTTCGAGCTTGCAGCGCTTTAGGTATTTGATTCTGAAAATGGTATCGAAATAAAGGAATGTTTAAATGAGTTGTTGGATTGAACTCACAAGGCGAACAATTTCAGGTTTCTCGTCTCGCTTATATCCGCACTTCACCCAGAGAGTTCCTCCTTCTTTTGGACAAACTTAGAAAGCAGTACACTATTATGAGTTTTCCAGTGTTTTGCCCCGATACCGTGCAAAATTTTTCTAACTACCTCGTCGTAATATACGCTAAGCATACATCATTTCATTATCATACTTTTAATACTTGACGAACGTGCGTGTGTCTGTGGTTGTGGAAAATTCTGCCGCTAGCAGCGCCCTGTACATCACGATAAAAAATTTCACAAGTATCACATTTCCCCAACACCCAAGCGCTCACACATTCTCCGATATCAAAGCGTGACCGAACCCAACAATATTCGCTCAAGTGTGATTTCACGTTTTACCAAGGTACTGATAAATGTGAATAAATTATCTCGTTTTTTTTTCGCCCGTTCCTCGTCCTGGGATCCCAATCCTTAATGGTCCGCCAGACAAATAAAACGTAATAAAATATTAAAAGGTCCAATCTCATATCAAAAAGAGATATTCGTCCATACGCGCGTCGGCGGTGTGCTACCCGAATCCGACGAATCCTCCCTCCGAAACAATTATTCCGACTCGTATCAGCTCAGCGTCGTAAATGTGGCCCGAGAAAGCACAAAAAGGACTTTGATGAAGGAAACCTTTCTCGTGTCCCTGATTTGGGCACCTTCCTCGGGGTCTCCTCGCCGCGATTTCCGGAACGCGTGTTCACCTTTCGAAAAAGTAGATCCCACATCGGCTATGCTGCGCGCGAGGGCGAGTGTGGGTAGTACCTATGCTCTAATATATTTGCTTTGATCAAATAATTAAGGCAGTGTGGAGTCGTTCTCAGACACCCTGCTATGGCAGGGCCGCGGTAGAAATCACATATAATAATCACATACAGGCAAGAAAGAAGGACCATTTCTAATGACGATGCTGGCGATGATGATGATGATGATGATGGTGATGGTGGTGGCGGTCAGCAGTCGTACTCATTCGCCCGTTTTTGGGGAACTCTTGAAAAGAGGGAGAATAGAAGGGAGGCGGCCCACAGTTGCCGCTCTACTCGCATACATTATTTCGAGGAATAAACTAGAAGATTATCCTCGGAAAACATAAATA